ATCTTGGTTATTTCTTTTGTGGCGATTGAGATACCAGCCAGTTCTGTTTGGACCACGCTGGTATTTCTTCCCATTCCCCACTTATACCTTAGGCTTAGTGACCTGGAGTACACTCCACATCCTGAGTCTTCTTTGGTTTTTGAGCGGCCTTTATAAATCCGTATTGTATTTGTAGCATCTGACTCTGTGTTCTGCTTAATTTGTATTTTATAGAGTTTATTAAACACAAATCTGGGTTCAATTGCATCACTTGTTGCCTGAAGCAGAGGTTGCGCAGTAAGCGCTTCCCGCCATAGACCCAGCCTCAATTGACCCATTCCTACTTCGAGGTTTACACCAGTCATGCGCAATCGTACCATGGCCATTAACGCAACCTCCTTCTGTGAGGTCTCATGGCTCCTGTGATGTTTAAACAAGCAAGTCGCTGTACTTGATATAATTCTTAGATGACCGTTGCTTGTACAATTTTCGGTTCCCATGCAATGGCTCCGTACGTTAACATAGGTCTTATTATTGCAGTGTAGATCCAGGCGACCACACGGGGTGAAAGTCCCCATGCGCGTCCCATTGTCCTCCGACATTGCTCATAAGCCACGTATGCTCTTTTTGCTCTACTCTCTAGATGATAGTTCCATGTTAGCTTCTTGTCGAGGATAGTACTAAGGTATTTCACCTCTTCAGAGAAGTTTAGTTTGCTTTTGAAGATTTCGTGAGGTTTTAAGTCCGTTAAACTTCTTTTTCTGGTGAAAAAGACCAAACATGTTAAACAGATGTACACATATGTTCGATACGACTGTACCAACATAAAGAAATTAAAAAGATCGCTAATTGAATCAACGAAATTTAAATATTCACTTAATTTTTTGAACGGACCTCGTATATTATTTTATTCAGACATTCTTTGATCTCATTCAGAATAATTTTATTCAGTGTTATTGAGTTTCCATAACCATGTCGTTCTAAACTTGAGGAACAGAATAGGTACTCCTAATGCTGCTAAAATTTACTAAATGAAAGTTGTTCATTGTCATAATATACATAGGTTAAGGACAAATCTTTTAACACACCCTGTTATATAAAAGGAATCGCATTGTCCAGAGAAAAGCACGGTAATGTATGCATGACGAGCAGAACAAATGAGCTATTGACATTAAATTCACTGCCCTATCATGCTCACTCTTCTCAAATACAAGCCTCAGTCTTCGGATTCTTCAACCACGAATAAAGTTCGAGGTTCTTTCGAATGACGTGAAGTTTCCGTCAAGAATTTCCACAAAGTTCAATAAAAAAATGAAACATTCAACATCCCGTACAATATATTCGGTAACGATCCATTGTTGTGAAATTTCCCAAGGAAGTACCGAAGAATCCTTCGTTGCACTTGTCGATGGAATCTATGATCAGCTGGTCGATTGGTAATTTAGAAATCAAGTCATGGATTGAATTTTACGAGTTTTCTGCAAAGAGGTCAAGAACAAAGAAATTCGCTCATGAATGCAAATGACGCTTTGCTTTGAAAGTAAAAATTTATGAACCTGTTTGAAAATAAACAAAAAGTGATGCACTTGTTGGTGTTAAAAGTGTTATGAGAAATCGATAGTTGAAATGAGTGGTGTTTGTTGTATACGGGGTGTTTCTGAACTCATCCCGATCTATGACTTACATCCAGTGAGCATCTTATGAACGAAACATTATCAATTAGTCTAGTTTCAGTTATTATTATTATAAATACGAGGGATGGTGCATTCGATCCAGATTGATATAAAGAAAAATGTGCTGAATACGTTTTTTAGCACATAAAAAACTGCAAAAGTTATAAACAAATCAAGATATAAAAAGAACTTCTTTGATTGACCCGTCATATATACAGGCCAGACTGGTAGAAATGTTAATATAAGGTACCATGAACATGTCATTCCAGATAATTTTCATTGATGTATGGACTACTTCAAAATTCGAAACATAAAATAGATGAAGATAATTAAAAAATTCGCCACACATGCCAAGAAGTGACAATGATGAATTTGTTGGAATCTATAGAAATAAACAACATCGTNATGAGACGAAGTTAATCACCTTAAGCTTTCGAAAGTTCATGACAAAACCTTTTAATGAAGCCGGAGTTCATCCCAAAGGGCTGATCTGCTTGCACATAAGACAATCCGTCCGACCTACCATAAAGAATGTTAATTCGCAATACCTGGTAGCAAATTCGCAACGTATAAGGCACAATTAAAATTCCAACGTCTAGCAAGGTTTTGGAGATACATAAAATTAAATTTTGTATCACGATTTTGTTTACAGGTGGTTTCCTCGCATGGGACCGAAGGATTCCCAAGATATGTTTGCAGAAAAACAGCGGAATTACCTTTCTCGATCACGTTACGTAACATTAATATTCCATCTGCATCTGCGGATATATAGAGGTATTTTGAATGTTATTCCTTTCACCTTGAGCAATATGCGCCCGAGAATAAAAATTCACTGACACCTGCTTGCTATAGTGTCAAGAAAACTGTTGGAGTTTTAATAGGAATCCCCGGCTTGATTTGAGGTGAAAAAAAAGGGGCTTCCTTTTTTTCGCCTACCTGATAGGTCAATAAAATGAGTAAAAAATGTTCAAGTTGAACGATTTTATTGAAAAAAAACGTAATATTGACGTAGATAATGTACTTGATAAAAAAAATTCAGAAGGTCCTAGTTAGCAGTCATCACATCACTCTCCCCAGGAGCTATATAGCACCTTCCGAATTAATTTTTAGTTTTTAGTACACTATCTACATCATTATTATCTTTTTTTTTAATAAAACCGTTTAACATAATTTTTGTATAATTTCATTTTCATGTTTTCGGTATCTGATTTTGTTACTCAATTTTCCTCATTCTGTTCAGTTCATTTAGTGCCACAGTATTACAATGTTTATTTCCAGATGATTTGTTGCAATCTACCTTCCAAAGACTTTACTCGACTTAGGACCACGTATGCTTGCCCTTCTTCAAACAATTTTGAGCCTAAATTCACAACTGCGTGGTCTTCAGTGTTGCTTGCATTTTGTGGACAAGGAAAACTTATGACAAAATTAAGTGTAACATCCTTCTTTCAGCCGTCCCATAATTGAACTTTGCTGGAAACCGTAAGGTTTTAGGGTGGATAAGGTGTACGCCGTCTCTTTCAAAGTTGATCTGAAATAACGATACATCAGTAATCCGCCATTTTGTAACTGCGTCCATCTTGAATTTGCATCTTTTTCAAAGTGTACTATAATGGGGAATGTTCCTCAATTTGGGTTATTATAGCAAATGCAAGTTTGAACAAAATAAAGATGAGTTTAATTTATGAGTTTTTCAAATTCACTTCGAAAAGTATTCAAATTGATGTTGCAAATGTTGGGTTTTAATTTTCATAGGGATTTGTTTCTAATTCACATATTGGCAAGAGCGCCTATATCAAGTTGAAATAATTTATACGTACCTAGATATTCTACTTTAAAAAAAAGGGAAATTATCTTTATGAATCAACAATTGAGGCAAAATTTAAATTATATTTCAATATCACCTCCACAAGCCACATGAACAACAGTTGTTTTGTTATTTATTCATATAGAGGAAGATAGGTTGGGGGCACAAAATGTCATATGTCATTGAATGTCTCGGATCTCGGAACATAAGTAAACAGAACAGCACGCCTCTGAAATATGTCATCTTTGTTTGTCTCATACAGGTTACAGATTCATTGTCCTTTATTAGTTATAATCGATGTTGCCAAACGGTGAAATAGAAACGAATCCCTTTAAATGTTGAATGCATTATTTCATTTCTCTTTTTCAAGTATTTAAATAATTTTTTAAAGAAAACGGTTGAAATGATAAGTTTAAAATGCGTTGTTTTAGAGCTCTTTATGTTTCATTCTAAACAAGAAATTTCTCTTGGGTTTTTTGCCCAAAATAAACCAGTTCGCAGCAAAAAATTATTTTACGAACAACTACAGAGATTGTGAAGCAGAACTGCATTAAGGCTTCTTTTTGAAGCATTCATGAAAAGACGTCACTGAGGTAGGGGTCATATGAGATATTAAATGTATCTGTCAAACCTTCAATATTGGTACAATTAACCAACTCGTCCTCTTGGGCAAAGTAGGGCAAAGGACTTTCATTATTTAGAAAGTAATAATAGTTATGGCCTGTATACATTCAAAAACAGTGATACAGTGAAACAGTGTACCTATTTTTTGTGACTTCAAGTTAGGTGTTCATGAAACAGAACACCTAAATATATAGAAATAAGCTGTAAACATCCAAACAGTTTTTTTGTTGCTGACCTGTGTAATTTTGAAATCATCAAACTCCGGAAAAGGTAACGTGACCACTTTGGAATGCTTCGAAAACTAGTATTATCATTTATGATGCACTGTTTGGAACCTTTGGTGTAGTAATGAATATTATTGGAGTTAGTTGTTCTCAACACTAAACTGTTATTTTAACACCTCGACACGTGTTTCGATCACCGAGTGATCATCTTCAAGAGGAATATCAATTTGAAGATGAGCACTTGCTGATCGAAACATGTGTTGGGATAAAACTCCAGTAATATTTTTTTAGTTCTATCATATATCTGAGAATAAATCAGAATTCAACTTTCAATTTCCATTGTGAACCGTTTAGATACGACTTTTTCAGTTCGCTAGTAACAGCCTCATTAAAAAACTACTTTCCGATAGTGATACCATGATATTCAGCGAAACAATACTGGATCGTTAATAGTTGTGCTACTTGAACGTTGGTTCACTAGCCCTGATATCACCCAATTAGTAATAACGCTACGAAATATCTAAACTCTTCTTGACCGAAAAGGAGACAGTTCAATGGAAATCCATTTGCGTGCTTCAAATATAATCAGGCCAGAAAAGGAAGATTACGTATCATGTAAATGTCATACCAATTACCTTTGACATCATCAATCCATTCATATTCCTAACGCACTGATTGATTGTTTGTTTACAGTTTTCCTGATACCGCAGCGGTACATACTGGGTATAATGGGTTTTTTGGCAGTGGTGAACGCATACACGATGAGGGTGTCTCTGTCGATAGCCATCACGGAAATGGTGGCTCCTCATGATTCCAAGGAAATCATCGATCCTGATTCATGCCCAGTACCTGGCCAGATGAACTCCACTGCCTCTGTAACGGTAGGGTTTGTTAATAGCGGATAATTAACGTGGGATGAATGACAGATAGATGTGTTTGTTGTCGTGTGAAAAACAATAAAATGTTTTCTGTGATAACGAATGAGTAAATATGAAATGAATGAGAAGTTGAATAAAGCAGTCTACGTTTATACAAAATGTTTATTGTCACTCAATTGTAAAAAAAAACTTCCTGGTGGTACAATGAACCAAAGTATGAAAGATAACAACATTGGGAACAATCATAAACTATTTAATAATAATAATCGTCGTCCAATCGCTTTCCGAATCGGAAGGACGAAATCCCGGACTTGCGGTTCGGAAGATTGAACGGCGTGTACACAAGATGGAGGCTAAGATCACGTCGGCAAGACAACACCCGTCTCGTATCCAATGTGTGATAAATTACAGGGCGGCCAATAGGTCTTTCACTGCCAGTACTGCCTTGATAGCATACGAATGCTAGTGGCTGCTAAGAAGTCACTAGTGAGGCGAGCGAGAAGTGTCGCGGAAAACCTTAGGTTCTGCGACAAACCTTCTCGCTTATTCCAAGAGCCCCCACGTGTTGTGGATAATCCGCCGACCGCTGATCAGGTGGAATCCTTCTGGAAGGATATCTATGAACTCCCGCCACCACTCAACTTAGACACTCCAGCCCTAGCGTAGTTCGAAGCTTTCAATATAGAGCTTCGACAGCCTGAGCTCAATGAACTGCGCAACGCGATAACTCCGGATGACGTTCGAAGGGCCCTTGTTGGTTCCAAGAACTTTGCTGCTCCAGGCCCAGATGGGCTGAACACTTATTGGTGAAAAAAACTACCAAGTACCCACCGCCATCTGGCCAGAGTTTTCAACTCATGGCTGGATGGAGAGCAGCCGATTCCGCGTTGGTTTATCGAGGGGCGGACCGTTCTCATCCCCAAAAGCGGAGATTTGTCGATTCCTAAGAATTACAGACCGATAACATGCNTTGAAACTTTTATATCTTTCAAAAATATAATGTGGCTTTTTGTAAATGAGGAATTTATGTGTATTGACGAGTAGGTGGAGCTGCCAGGTTTTAGCAATCGGTAACCAACCTGACTCCTCGAACTTGGGTCGAACTTGGTCGAATTTTCATTCAACACATGCTCTGAAAATTCACTGATCTAAGAAAGAATACGGGTTTTTTTGTTCAAAATTAGTTTCATTCATTGTCTATCAAGAGCCACCCAATGAGTCCAGCCCGCTCTAACATTTCAACACCACTTTTGTAGAACGATTTATCTTTTGTCTCATCCATTGTTTCTTAATTAAGTCTTCAATCTTTAAATAAGTCTGCTTCACAGATAGAGATAAGCAGTTAAGACAATATTTTGACATAGAATGCAAATTGGGAAATTCTATTTCGTGTTTGGTTTTGGAATTTCAACGTTTTCGTTTATTGAAGCAAGTAAATGTATTTCCACGACAGTGGACAGAATTAAATCAGCATATTCTAAAGCCATAAGCCAACCTCAGGAAATTGAAGTTATTAACGTTTTCTGTTCGTAAAATGATATATTTCCTATTATCATTTTTCAATGTCACTCTCATGATGCATTAGTAGAAATAAAAAATGCTTCAACTCGTATAGGATTCAAATTCAATAAAGGGCATGGGTGAAGTTTGACGAAAAAATGCACTAAATCACTGGGCCAAATTTGCCATGGTTGTACTATAAACTTGACAATCTTTCATATTTTTCCAAACGATTTCTCTTTTTGTAGAACAAAGATATTCTCTACGACTGGGACGAAACCACCCAAGGACTGATTTTGAGTTCCTTCTTCTGGGGTTACGTAATAACTCATCTTCCTGGAGGAATATTGGCAGAGAAGTTCGGAGGAAAATACTCTTTGGGGTTGGGAATTTTATCGACTGCCATCTTCACACTTATCACGCCTTGGGTGATTTTTGCAACGAATGGAAATTGGAAAATCCTTGTGGCTTTGAGAGTTATCGAAGGATTGGGAGAGGTGAGTAAGACACGTACAAATCATAGAAATAGGTATTTTGGGACACTCATAGTTTTTGGAATATAGTAAGAGGGCACGTCTGAAGAATGGCTGTAAATCGAATTATCTGAAAGACGATTCGTTGAAAATCGAATTCCTTTCAGAGTAGCATTCCTCGAGCTAGGCTGAAACGAACGACAAACAACATATTTGTCATCGTCCCATCTGCCCGTGAACAAGGTAACCAACCGCAAATTCGAATGGCCCAATTCCTCGTATAAGGACAAAATTCGCATATAGTAAGGGGGCATACTTAAAGACTGGCTGTAAATCAAATTATCTAAAAGGACAATTCTTTCAGGCTAGTCTCAACTCATTTACACTGTAGGTTAATGCAGTTGGTTACCTCGTTCACGGGTAGATGGAGCGATGACAAATATTCTAATTGACATTCGTTTCAGTCTTGTTCGAGGAATGATACTCTGAAAAGAATCCACTTTTTAACTATGGGAAATCATCGACTATATGTTGATGATGGACACTACCTTGCACTGACGAGTGGCCAAATAATCTGAAACCGGTCTGGAAATGTGTCCGTTCCAATTATTGAAAATCGATTCTGGCAGTATCGCCAACAGTATATGCAGGAATTCTGTGACGAATTCTCACCTGCCACCTGCCGGATATAATCCAATGCCCTTCGTGGTATCAGCCAGGAGAGTAGTTGTTTTCTGATAGGTGTCAGTACATTAACCTACAGGTGAGTTGAGGCTGGATTGAACGAATTGTTCTACTGAATAATTTAACTTTTATTTTTAAAATAACTTCAGTGCATTACTTGGTGCCAGGTTGTTGGTGCATTATTCGTGCCTAAGGGCATACGAATGAATTCAGAATATTCAAAATAGAGATTTATTTTTATTGAAAATATCACATTCAAATTAACTAGAGTTTCATCCAAAACGAATTTGTAAAAAGTGACCCCTGACGATTCACTTTTTCTTTCAGGGAACAACATATCCAGCTCTCAATGCTCTTCTAGCTAAATGGGTTCCAATTGGAGAACGTGCCAAAATTGGATCTTTAGTTTATGCTGGCAGTCAAATAGGTGAGAACTTTCAGAAATAGAATGTTTCCAACGATACAACTACTATATTATTGTGCTTCATATCACATACTCTACCACCACTTATAGTTTTATTCAAAAACATTGTTATTGTTTTTCTGCAGGTACCATTATTAGTAACAGTATTAGCGGATGGCTGATCAACGCAACCAATGAATGGGCATCAGTATTTTACGTTTTTGGAGCAGGTGGAATCATCTGGTTTATAGTTTGGGTTCTCATCTGCTACTCAGATCCTGAAACACACCCTTTTATTAGTGACGAAGAGAAAATGTACTTAAAAAAGGAACTAGGTATGTGCACCTTACACTGTTAACTTCTCTTCTCCCACAAAACGTGTTTGACAAAATTTTCCGCTCTAGACACATCAAATGAGAAGAGGGAGATCCCTTGGGGAGCCATATTAACGTCAGCTCCCCTTTGGGCCCTGGTGATGGCCCAAATCGGCCACGACTGGGGGTTCTTCACAATGGTGACCGATCTACCGAAATACATGAGCGACGTATTGAAGTTCAAGGTCAAAGAGAACGGGATGTGGTCTTCCTTGCCGTACGCTGTCATGTGGTTGGTCTCCATCGGATCTGGATGGCTTTGCGATTGGCTGGTATCTAGCGGATATATGGGAATTACCTTTGCTAGGAAGTTCTTCACATCAGTAGGTCAGTATTGCCAAACCTGTTTGACTCAAAGATCCATTCTTGAGCCGCTTATAACTTCCCTGAATCGAGTTAGTAAACTTGATTTTTTTCAGCTTCGATTGGTCCTGCGATATTCATTATGGTGGCGTCCTACTCCGGATGCGACAAGTATCTTACAGTTGCTATGTTTACGATTGCTATGGGATTCATGGGAACTTTCTATTGCGGAATGAAGGTGAATGCTCTCGATTTGTCACCGAACTTTGCGGGAACGCTCATGGCTATTGTAAATGGAATTGGAGCCATCACTGGAATTTTTACTCCTTATTTAGCTGGGGCGTTAACAGAAAATGTAAGTTACACAGTATTGGTTCTCGAAAAGGGCTGTTGAAGCAATTGAATTAATCTAAAATCTGGCACTGTTGTCATTCCATAACTATAGGGTCTTCCAACAGGGACTTCCGAACTTTGACAGTTGATAACCGCCATATTGTTTGAGCTATATCTGTCAAATTAGTTGTCATTTATTCAGTAAGTTGTGCCAAATCACCATGAACGGATATAGCATTGAACAACACGTACAAATAATAGAATTGTTTTATCAAATTATGTGTTCTGTTTGGGCAACGTACTGTGTCCTTCGCCCATTTTACGGTCGTCATAATCGAGAGGATTATTCTCAATGTGAGTCTGCTGGTTCAGTAAACGATCGACCAACACGCATACGTCGATGAAACCCAAGATATGTGGCAAACATCGCCGCTGTCTGAGAGTGTGCAGGAGAATTTGAAGCAGCTGATTTCGCGTCGCTCACAAGAACTCGGCCTTTCGCAGGCCACAACCTGGAACTGACCCAGGAACTGAAGGTAAACAACCATAAACAACGACGTGTGTTCGTTGAATGAGCTCTGGAGCAGTTGGTAACTGACCCTAATTTTCATCGAAAAATCATCTTTAACGATGAGGTCCATTTCTGGATAAATTATCGAATTTGGGATGATACCAATCCACATGAGACCCAAAAGAGTCCAACGCATCCCAAAAAGTCACTCTTTGGTGTGGATTTTGGGCTGGCGGCGTCACCGTTCCATATTTATTCGAGAACAGCGTTGGTCAGGATATCACTGTCAACTTCGAGCACTATAGGTCGATGATTACCAACTTCTTTTGGCTCGAATTGGATGATCTGGACCCCAACGACATATGGTTTCACAGGGCGGCGCTACGTGCCACATTAGATATTCTTCATGAGTCATTTGCGGGCATGGTCATCTCACCGTTAGACTTTTTCTTGTGGGGTTTTCTTAAGTAGCAGATGTATGCGAATAAGCCATAAACGATAGCGGTTCTCAAGTCCAACCTAATCCATGCCATCGGTCAAATTCAGCATGATTTATACGCCGGAGTCACGGAAAATTGGACGTTTCTGATGCGCTCTACCAAGAGAAGCCGAGGCAGACATTTTAACGATGTTATATTCCACACACAATAGGTTTTTCAAACGAATGAAAAATTTCGATGATATCTCACACACACTTTGTTTTATTTAAACTTAAAGATAGGGAGCGCATAATAGAAGACCCTATACTATAATATCAAGAGTTTTTCAAATTATTGCTGAAAGACATTTAAAAAGAACAGATTTTCATGGCGTGAGATAACTGTGTCGAAGCCATTTTCCGAGATTGTGGGTCATGTTCCCTAGGTTATTATGAGTGACTTTTCATCTACGGCTGCGGTTGACATCGTCAAAGATGATGAAGTAACAGACAAAGTTCTCTAGTGGTTATCGATATCGATATCTGTTTTTATGTTATCGAATTTTCATCTTCACTCTATATGGTCTTCAATGATAGCTTTTAATTCCATCAAGCACTTGAGGACTGAAAAGGTTGCCCATTACTTACTTTTACTTATTTTTATAAATATGCCGATGATGAACAATGAGAGAGCAGGGTGGTTATGTCTGTCACGGATACTTCACTAATTACCTTTATGGTGTCTTTGACCGGAAACATCATACACAAGAACACCACGTCGAAGCTCACTAGAACATCTCCTGGGCCTAACCTCATATCACTCATCCTTTCATTTAAGTGTCCTTAGTCTTCAATAAATGACTGTTTTTTTTCATGAACAGCTGCAGTATAGTGTGTAGGATATAGAGACGTAGCGGAGAGTCAATAATTACTTATAGTGCAATTTCCGACGGCTTTACAGAAAACGGCCCAAGCGAAGCTCTCTGGCTTACATATACAGGCTTGTTTGACCATCAGTGCCGCCATCAGTACCACACCGTCAGCAGCCATGGAGATCCTTCTAAATTTACCTCCTCTCCACATTTTATTCTGAAGAGAGAGGCTAGATTGACTGCATATAGACTTGTGCACGTTGCCAATTGCATAAATCAATTTAACGCAGAGTGCAACAGACTGTTGGTTGACATTGGGAAGTCACAGCGTTCTGGAAATGACCTCTGACTTCATGCCTCCAACTATCAACTACGAACTGCCTTATAAAGTACTGTTACCGAGTAGAGAGTACTGGATCCTCCAGGAGAAGGAAATATTAAGAGCAGATAGTTGTTGGTTTACAGATGGATCAAAAACACCTTCCGGTTCTGGTAATGTTGAATGCATTATTTCATTCCTCTTTTTCAAGTATTTGGATGATTTTTTAAATAAAAATGCGCTGTTTTAGAGCTCTTTTATGAAAACTACTTGTCATTTGATACCCATCTGAACTGGCGGTACATCTGTAATCCGCCATTTTGTAGCTGCGGCCATGTTGGATTTACAATGATACAGAATTTATTAGATCGTATTGTTATCAAAACTATAGGTATACCAAATATCAGATTAATCTGTCAACAGGAAGCAGGTCAAACTCCAATCAGTAAATTTGACCAAAACAAATATGGCAAGCTAAATAAAACCGTTAAAAAATACAGGCAATGAAGAAATATCAAATATTCCACTCAATATGGGAGGGGCGGGCGTGGATATTGCCTCGGGCTCCCCACAGGTGAGGGGCTCCCATAATAAATATGAAAAAATTATTCAAATTCTGACAGGTCAGCAAATTTTACGTAATAATTTTTTAAAGAAAACGGTTGAAATGATAAGTTTAAAATGCGTTGTTTTAGAGCTCTTTCATGAAAACTACTTGATTTTCGTCAGGAGGAACATTCCCCATTCCACTAGTCATACTTTGTCATTTGCTAGGTACTCATCTGAACTGGCGGTACATCTGTAATCCTCCATTTTGTAGCTGCGGCCATATTGGATTTACATCGTATTGTTATCAGAACTATAGGTATACCAAATATCAGATTAATCTGTCAACAGGAAGCAGGTCAAACTCTAATCAGTAAATTTGACCAAAACAAATATGGCAAGCTAAATAAAACCGTTAAAAAATACAGACAATGAAGAAATATGAAATATTCCACCCAAATCCATCGCCTCATTGAACTTATCGCGTACATCCAGGGCTGGATTTAGGAAGGGGCGAGCGTGGATATTGCCTCGGGCTCCCCACAGGTGAGGGGCTCCCATAATAAATATGAAAAAATTATTCAAATTCTGACAGGTCAGCAAATTTTACGTTTTTCTCACAAACATTTTTTTTGCATGTTTACTAATAATACTTGCACAAATATAATAATATTGTTATAATATATCAGAAAGCCATGTTATTAATTAGTAAAATCAAATGGTCAAATTATTACAAGTGTTAGGAATCACACGTTAAAAGGTAAGACCTCGTTAGTCCTTAGCTCGCACAAGTTTCTCAACTTCTGAGAGTTGTCGTTCGTATGGGGGCGGCAGTTGATTAACGGAAAAACAGATTTTAAACAGATTT